GTGGGTAGAGGAACACGGAATGTGTTGGATACTTCTTGTCTGTTACCATGGTGATCGCACACTACTTATAACCATGGTACTAGGTAACTAGCCTAATACAAAAATGCTGTATAATAGGTTTAAATAATATTAATAATAGTTCGAGATAAACTCCAATGGCCGATTAATATATTTTTTTTTGGGGGGGGGGGTAAAATAAACAACAATAACCTGCAACAAATTATTCGCAACAATATATATTTTAGCTAAAAAAACTACGAAACGTCTTATCGAACGTCCCTATACGTACTCGGCCTTTTGGGAAATGGGTTTGGTTTAACTGATTAAAAACAAAGAACCAATAAAACCTTCAAAACACTGTATGAGACATGTAGTAAAACAACGACATAGATTTAGTGTTCCATCTTTGGTTATTGTTAAAAAATAAATAAAACGTATATGATCCAACAGAGTAGTACAAAAACAACGAATCTCCCGACAGAGGGCTTTCTTGGATTCTTAAGGGTATTTATGTTTTGTATTGATGGTCAAGCTACTTGGATAGTTAGAGTTATATGTTCAGATATTTTATCACTCGGTTATTTTCAGAAGATCCAATGTAAGTAATTGAAATGTTTTTTTAATATTATATCTGAGTCGATATTAACTGAAATAAAACTCGCTTGATTAGTGTTAGTAGAAGACGTCGACACATAAAAGAAACAGTCTACTTATAAGAAAATGTCAAAGCGAAATAAAAATTTTTACCAGCGTTACAAATTATATCTTTTTTAGATTGTCAACAAATAAGAGATGCACCCAGTTTTAATGTTTCATTTATTTCAAGAATCAGAAAACTAATTATTTTCGACTTCGCGCTGTGTCCATTTCTCACAGATCTTTTGACAAGCAAACTGAATAGGGTGAACATTTTAAATACTTGGCACGTTATCACATCACTGCAGTGCAATGAATGTAATACATAATAAAATAAACTAGTACTTGTAAGAAATAAAAACAACAACAAAAAATAGAAACAAAACAGAATTTATAAGTTTCTACATACATAGACACAGAAACAGTCAAGTTCAAGGCACAAAAAATCGCGTTAAGTTAGTTTAAAATTTTAAACTATTTTGTTCTTGTTTAACAGCAGTGGTATTAGTCTTTCGAAACTTTATTCTAGTCACTAACAAACTTTAGTACTTCGTAAATGAAGTATACTTTACGTGGCAAACTATTTTTTTACGAACAACCACACTGATTGCAAAATTTGGTTTAATATTAGCCTTTCAACTTGAAAGACATTAAAATTGAAGTTTTGCATAAATCTCGCAGTTTAACTAATTAAAAATTAATATTTATTTAAAAATCATAAATACTATTCAGCGAAAGATTGCAAAAGCTAAAAAATCGATTTACTTCTTAATTAAGTTGTTCTTTTTTGGTAAATTATATAATACGCGCTATACACCACTAGGATAGAACCCCGAATTTTTGCGTCGTAAATCCTCTGAACTTATAGCTGACCCAGCGGTGGAATTCTAAAGTGTTCGTTGAATTATGATTTTTTTATGTTAAATACAATATATTTAGCTGACACTAGATGGCGCCACTATTCACGGTGACATTATATGCAATATTTTGGGATGGTTGAGTTTACGTAGTGTTTGCGACAAAAGGTAGAACATCCCAAGGAAGTTATTGAGTTAAAGTCATTATTAGAAACGCTGAATACAAGAAAATGTTTAAGTTAGCAAGATTATTTAAAGCTATTAGAGAAGTATATGAAATCAAATAACAACTTTGTTATCTACCAGTGCATTCATTGCGTATCTTAACAATAATTTTCGTCACAAGAGAGTATCAGTAACGAGCCTAAATATGTAAATTACTTGGCTTAATTACCGAAATTCCATAGAGTTTTTGTACACCAATGTAACTTAAGTACCATACATCAGTTTGTACAAAAATTATCTTATTAACTAATTACTTAACGAAAAACCTTCCTACATGCGATAGTTACAGAATTTTAAGACTTGCAAAGTTTTTTAAATGCGCTGAAAGGAAAAAACAGAGACGAAAATTCAATTTTTGCCGTTACGACTGATTTAATTTAGTTTTGTAGAACTATCTTTATCTCATTTATTTTATCAGAACTTTGCAAAGCTCCGTTGTATTTTTTTAATTTGCAAAACTGCGCTGTATCTTATAATAAATTCGCAAAGCTCCACAGTATTTATCTTTAATTTGCAAAGCTCCGCCGTATTAAATCTTAATTTTGCAAAACTTCACAGTATTTATCTTTAATTTGCTAAGCTCCGCCGTATTAAATCTTAATTTTG